GCCATTTTTGCACTTAAAAGCTCAAACTCATTTTTTTTTTGCTAGAAGCACTGGCATTGATAATGTCCCTATCTATGAAGAAAACATATTCAAGCACCGATTCCTTTAGAATATTCATATTTTCCTCTGAGAATACAGCAAATGAAGCAGAAGGATGAATGGCTGAAGAGGAACGAGAAGTAATGCTTGCCTTCACTTGTTCCCAAGAAGTAAATAAATCCTGAATTGAGCATAAAATGGCGTCAGCATCCTGTAAAGGAAAATGCAAACATTTAGCATTTTCAATACAGTGAACGAGGTAAAGATGAAAGATTAAATAAAGGCACCTCATCAGTAGCTTTGGAAGATTGGGGTACATCACTGGTTGATCCGACCACTTGTAGGGACTTCTCTTTATTTGAACGAGCAGGCTCTTCCACGACGGGTAGATCTACGGGTATCTCTGTAAGAATCAAGTGATAATGAGTTAAAGGCCAATAACACAAATAAGGGAAAAGACCATAAAGTATGTATTACCTTTTGGTTCAATACGTGGGGGGTCGACGCCTTGGAACGAAGTTTTCCAATTCGCTGTGCGATCAAAGACTCTTGGCCAATGGCCTTTTCCTTAAGTAAAGTCCCTTCTTCAGATGATTTAGACGAAGAAGTTTTGGTGGGAGTTTTGGTGGAACAAGAACCGGTAAAGGCGGAGGCTTCAAAGGAGAAGTTGAGCTTTTCTGAAAAATTCAGGTAAAACATTAACATATAAAGGATTTTTCATGAATAAACAAACTCAAATACCTTCCTCCTGACGACAAAAGAGGCATCATCATCATCATTGTCATCGTGCAAACCTGACGAAGCTGAAGCTGACTGTTTATGGCTGGAAACACCTTTAGCTGTTCCAGTTTGAGCAGGTGGGGATTTCAAAGGAGAAGTAGGATTCTTGACAGAAATAGGAATGGCAGGAATAGGAAAATGAAAAAAGGTCCCTTGCCACTCCAACAAGTGGAAAGTACGGTTAATATCAGTTGCAAACAACCTACGCTTCACAGATAGCCAGAATTGTTCAAAGAGAGGGTGAGTGACAAAAGTGGGATTAAAAGGGGCTAAGGAGAAACCATTTGTTAAAAGGGTATTGCGAGCATCAATGGCATGTGCATCTGTTCTATTGATGGTGTGAAAACGTTTTGTCGGACTCTTGGAAAAACAGGAAGGAATAGGCCACGTTTGGCCAAAACCAAGTTGACGGGCTACAGATTGGGGAGCATATATCTCAAACCCTACCTTA